TCTCATCTTTTTAAGTGGGAGAACTTGCACAATTGGTGGCTGACTAAATACTTTTTTGCCCCACTGTACAATATATATGTAAAACAACCCCATACCAGACTGATTAAAACATCTTCTATGCAACATATGCTCTTAAAATACCATTTTAAGAGAAGCTGAGGCAAACAAAAGCCACAGAAAATATCCATCCAATATCCTATTGATTGGTTACACTTGCTTTGAGTTAGTCAACAGAAAAAAAAACATCAGTGAATGTAAACTGAACAATTCCTACCACATCATTACACTACATTGCATTGGTTTTATGTTTTTGTTTGAATTTAGTATTATATTTTGTAAGCTGCCCAGAGTCCACTAGAGTAGGCGGCTATATTAAATCTAATTAATAATAACAACTAAGCTCTGTTATACATAGTTTTCAATAAACTGCTGAAAATGTGACTGATACATTTAGGAGTGAACAGCTGGCAAATTGATACAAGAAATCATTTTGACATCATCACCATATTCAGAAAGAATTATTACTTGAATATGGAAAGTTATATATGCATCCTCCAATATTCCTGTATTCAAACACAAATCTGAATATAAACTAGAGTCATGTGAAAGAGTCTTACAATGTCTTGAGCAATGCAGTGCATAGAAGTGCTAACAGAAAAGCAGATTCCAGCCTTATTTTCTAGAAAATATTACTATTTTACAGAGATTAAAAATATTACGTGGCCACCCATAATATTCTCAAAACTGATAAAGTATATAACAGCAAATAACATGTGACTAAACAGTGCTACTGAACAATTCAAATAAGAAATTCTGAGAATCAAACTAAGCAATCTCCTACCATTAAGTTCTGAGTCAAGAACAAGTTCCTGCCATAAATAAAACAAGAGCAGCAACTTCTTCTCGATCATCAGACTAGATTTTGACTTTCATAACATGGGGACTATACTGTACCACAATTTGTTACAAACTTAAGAGGATTCTGTAACAGTGACTTATATTCAAACAGCTTTTAAAAAAAAGACAGGAAGAATAGGTTTCATCCCAGAACTTCACCCCAAAATTTTCTCAGAAGAACATATAAAATATACTGAAGTGGCAAGGGGTGGAGATAAAAATTAAAATACCAACATATTTTCCTAATTAAAACCGCACAGAACTACATAGCAGTAGCATATGTGAGTAAAAGAAAAGAAAATCCCTTGCATACTGAGACTGCTATTCCCAAATTAACGTCTTTTTAAAGGATGAAAGTGTTAAAACTTACTTTACAGCGGCAAATATATTGTCACCAACTTGATAAATTGTACAGCCTTTCTGGGTTTCAGTTTCACCAACCCACACTGGTAGTTGATCTGGTATATCCCTGTAATATATACAAGATATTCAGAACTGAAAACATTTTAAGAATTAGAGCTGCAGCCTCTACAGCACTGCAGAAAGACTTCTCAAACACTATTTTCCCTACCAAAAAAAATATTTGAAAAGATATACCACATATATAGATTCTGGGTATGTGAAAAACCTATCCTCCAAACTGGAAATCTGGAAATTAATCCTTCAAACTGTAAATATTTCATGATGTTTCGGACATGGGATTCCAACCAGAACATCACAAACTTCTTCTAGCTCAGATGATTACTTTTTGAAAAGCTACCTGACCACCCCCAGAACAACTGGAACAGCATAGTCAGGAGGATGACTAGATTGTAGGTTTAGAATGTATCTAATAACATCTCAAATTTTATCAAAAATTATGGCATAAGCCTTAATTTAAAAATAAAAAAGCCAGTATAGGTGAAATAACCTTGCAATTCACCACATTTGAAAACTTAGCTTTTTATGGAGAATAGATTTTACAAAAATGCTTCCACAATGACAATACATAATAAACATTTTGAATATTTACAATTAATATAACACTATGGAAGTAAATGTTATTGTGTTCAATAATTCTTAATTGCTAGTGAGAGGAAAAAATCTTTTTAAACAGTAAAATGAACTCTGAAAGCTAGTTTGTCTAAGCCAAAATTGGATGTTAACAAATAAAATCTAGCATACATACAATAGATTTTGAAGATACTAACTCTAAATTTGCCTGGAAAATAAATCACATGTCAGCAAACTTCCCAAAAGCAAATAATTTTTATTCTATACCAAAATATTCCTGGAAAATGCATATGAATTAAACAACCTAATGTCACTCCAGGACAGAACATAATCTTTGATTATCTCAAAAATGTTATGTTAGAAATGGTTTTCAACTTCATATTCTACTCAATGAAAAGAACTTAGAAAGAAAAACTGCCCTGATTATTTTAAAGCAATGGCAGGAAGAGAAAGGCTAAAGTAAAGAATTATTTCTCCCCCTCAGGGGCCAAGGTATTTCTTACCTGAAATATCCCATATGATATTGTGTTTTGCTGTCTCCGGTAATAATTGTCTGGAATTCAGGAGGATCATAAAAAAATCTCCAATGAAGGTTGAAATTTATATCTTTTGATTTATTAGTGTTTTTGTATCTTCCAGAAAGAATATCATATGGTCCAACTAGCTGAAGTCCAATACTTGATTTGAGTGCATCTGCAACACAAAAATACCTATGGTTTCATAAGTATGAAGAACTGGCCACACCAAATATATATTTAAAATGATTTAAAAGGTGCTATTATTATTTTTACTTATTTATCCACTATCCTTGCTGCTTTCTGGGATTAATGGAAAGGATGCATCTAACTTATACTTTGGATTAAGCTCTCAAGATGAAATACTATTTACTTGTTTATTTTATTCAATTTATATGGCCGCCTCTCTCACTACATTGACCCTGGGCAGCTAACAACACTTAAGAAAACACAACCAACAATGAAAATAAAATACATAACCAGCAGCCAAGGCAAAAACAACAACAACAACAACCCTCAATTAACATAGCTATCTCCTGGTTATTTTATACAAAGGATGGAGAAAATAAAGACTTTCTAACTAAAACAAAAATATTGGATCTCTGATCTACATTACATGAAAGGTTCTAGGTTTGATTATGTTTTCTTACAGCCTAATTCCAAATACATAAAATAAAGCCATGCAAAACTAGAATAAACAACTACTACTTTCACATTATGCTTTTAAAAAAGGAGACCCTTCTATAATGTTCTCTGTTCTCAAAGATTAGGGTCAAATGTGATCCTTAAGTAGCTAGAATTGCTTCATCCATGCAGAAGAACCATATTTCAGCAAACTTAGAAGAATCAAAATACTAGTAAAATTTTTTTTAAAAAATCCCAAAATGGCATTCCCACAAACAGAGAACTGAACATTCTGATTGACATGGGATGCCAATTATTAGAAACAAACAAAAAAAGTGAGGGGACCAATACATTTTATATTACATGTGAAAAGCAATGCTGGTGATGTTAAGTAGTACCAAACCATAGTATCAACCACAGTATCCTTCAAGCCCACCTGAAGGGACTGGAAGGCATGGTGTTATGGTGGTTTCCTCTGTTCTTTGCGGTTAAGTCCAATCTGTGTTGACAGGAGGGAGGCAATTGACCCTGAGGCCCATGGCTGTAGAGTACCTTAGGGCTCTACATTCATGCCCCTTCTGTTTAGCATTTATATGAGACCACTTGATGAGATAATCTGCAAATTTGGGGTCAGGTATCATCAATATACATATGATACCAATTATACATCTTGACCTTAGACCAACCAGGTGAAGCTGTCAAAGTCTTGTCTGAGTGTCTAGAAGCTGTGGGGGAACTGGATGGGGAGGAACAGACTTAAATCAAACCATTACAATACTGAGTCGATGTGTATTTGTATATCTGCTTCCCCAAGGTGGGGGATGTTTCATCTTGAATAGGATTGCACTTTCTTCTTCAGGACTGGTGTGCAATTTGGGGGTCTTCTTGGACTTAAAGCCCCTGCTTGAGGAGCAGATGGCAGCTGTGACTAAGAAGGTGTTTGCATAAATCCATCTTGTGTACCAACTGCATCCTTACTTGGATCAGGAGACTTTAGTCACTCATCCTTTAGCCATCTCACATATGGTCTACTATAATGCACTCTACATGGGCTGCTCTTGAAACCAATTCAGAATCTGCAGCTGGTCCAGAATGCAGTAGTACGGGTAATTATGGGCATATCTCATATGCCCATAATTACCCAAGTACTATGGGCAAGTCCAAGTAACACCTTTGCTCTGTGAGCTGCACTGGTTTCCACTAGACTTCTTGGTGCAATTCAAAGCGTTGGTTATTTACCTACAAAGACCTTCATGGCACAGGCTAGTTATCTAAAAAGACTATCTTCTGTTGCTTCTGCCTTGTCTGTACAATCAGGCAGAATTGGCATGTTCCAGTTCCCATTCATTAAGCAAGGTCACCTGATGAGACCTAGGAAGTGTACCTTCTTGGTCACATCTGCCTTCCAGAGGGCTATTCCCTCTTCCCCCTCTAACATCTGGCCTCCACCCTGGTTATGAAGGGTTCTTCATAAGGGTTGAAGGGTTATGAAAACCTGGTTCTTTCCCCAGGCATTGTGTTGAAGTGGTTGGCAAGTTTGCATTTTTATGGTTGCTTTTCTTCT